TCCGCACACGCACACGCACACGCACACACACACGCACACACACACACACACACACACACACATACATACATACATACATACATACATACATACATACATACATACATACAAACATACATACATACAATTAGCAAGTTTTTGTTTTATTTACAGCTCAATAACAAAATGTCATGTGAAATAACTGTTTATATAAAAAAGGTGAAGAAAAGCTTTTACTAATAGTATTCTACACATGAAAATAACACACAGACCTTTTGAAATTCTTATGCGTTTTGATGCAATAAATTGTAACAATATTGGTCACAATCACTGTTTTTATAATTCCATAGTTCAAAGTCGGCAATTATGGTACAAGTCTAGCCATAATTTTGGAATAATCATAGATTTAACTATGTACAATAAATGATATGCAAATCAAAGACAGGATCAAAGAGTATTATCACAAAGATTACGAATAAGAACTTTATATACACACATTTATTTTATGTTAATATGTTTATTTTATATCTACTCAAAAGCTTACTGTGCTATAATTTAAGAGGATGATTTTACAAACAAAAATATATTTTACTCGGTTATTAACCATTTTCAGTCCGGGGGGATTTTTTTAACAATTTAGGATGAATGTTATACAAATGCTTCAAAAATACAAATTCCAATCAGTTATTCAATATAACCTGCAGCAGATGAAATTTTGTAATAGTTTTGGTATAAGTAAAATTGTAAACTGTAACATGCATTGTACAGTATGCCGTTTCGCAACTTTAAAATGTGATTTCACAGATCTATGACAAAACATATATCAAGTACATTGCCAGTGACAAATAAACGATGAATATTGTGAAAATAATTTCCAAATTATTTATAAAACTACAATCACGAGAGAATTATCCCAATTACAGTTTTAGTAATCCTTTGCTTTGTACAATTTAAATGTCTGACAAGGCCTAAAATGTCAATGCACTTTTTAAAATTGAATATCAAAATGTAATACTAAAATGATGAAATCAGTAACATATTTAGATTTTTCTCTGTCTCTAATAATTTTAGGTAAAGATGTAAAATATCCATATCACACTTATTGGTTTCCTCTTCTTCATCTGAAAACAACAAAGCAAAGATGTGAGGAAAAAGATAAAGTAAGTAAAGACTTTTAAAGATATTCTTTTATAAAAATTGCACAAGTAGGTATTTTTAAACAGAAAAGTAAACGGACATTTACAGATAAAATCACACGAGCACGCACCGTTGTTGCAGGTTTTTAACATGCATGACTCAGGGTGCATTTTTGAATAAAGTTGATGAAACTGACGGACCTGATTGTTTTATTATTAAAACAAAACTTTCAAGTGATATCGCGCTAACAGACAAAATTGATTTCTTTATATAAAAAAATAACAACATTTTCTTTAATCTTACGCTAGATAAGCGCAAATACACATCATTTGATTCGTGGATTTACATCAGATGTACATAGCGCTTGTACTAAATTAACTTCACCTCGTTGGTTCGAGCTTTAAATGAGTCTTCGTGCTTTAACAGATATTGATGCACGAAATTATCTAAATTAATACATTCATGAAAGTAAATGGCAGTTTTGAGTTTGAAAAATTAAATTAAATTTAGAAAATAAAGTATAATTTTACCCAAACAATGTAAATTGAAATTAAGCTAAAGTTTATAAATGTAACTTACAACTCTAAATTCTCATACACGACACGCAATTCTGTGGGTTTACGATTATCTGTAAAATGCCAAAATATTTATTATTATAATCGTTAATAAGAAACGGATAAAAACAACACAATCTGTTTCACAGGGTCTTGTCTCTTTTCTAAACAATGTTTACCTTCAACATTATATGTTTACTGTTAGATTCAGTACTTAAGTTAGTTTTTACAATACTCTTTAGACATTTGGCACATTATGCAAGTTTTATTTTCCAGCATCATATACTTCATCATATATTGTATAAGACAATTATGCAATAATCAGAAGCTTAGGTCAACTGCCTTAAAAATATCACTAGAGCAAACTTTGAGGATACTAGTAACAAAACGCTGCAACAGACCGAATAGTGCTTTGTGCAGCTACATGATGAAAGAAGCTTGACATACGTACATAATTTACATTCTTGGCAGCTGGATGTTTTATGTTATCTTTATTTTTTTCCACATTTGAAAGTACTTTAAATATACATATAGAGCTATTTTGTCCATGTCCAGTAGATAAAAATGAGCTAAAGTGTTATACAATTTGCCACGGTCATCTAACCGCTATTATTGGATTAATTTTACACTAATTGGGTTAAAAAGATAAAGGAGCCGAAGATTAACAAAGCACCTGACACTGGTTAGATTTCAACTGCAGCATTTAAGGCAGTTGCTACAACAATCGCCAAGCTCCTATATATGCTCCTAAATGACATATAGGAACATGAAGGTTTATCAATAGAAAGATGCAGAGGTATCATCTTGAACTGCCAACGGAGGGACAGCTATGGTTAAGGATACACATGTTAGGGGGAAACGAGTAATACGGTGAACATTTGCCAAACAGATGGAGGACTTTTACTTTGATCAATAAATCTCTGTTGGCAAAGGGGTTGTCAACGCTATGAGATATCAGAATTGCAGCAACCAGCGTGATCGAATGAATCAACTTAATAAGTTCGAATTATTGAAATCTATGCATCTCTTAGCTTCAGCAGATTAGTTGGTTTTGACGCCTGGCGCTGCTTAAAGTTTAGTCAAATCGGTGGATAGCCAAAATCATTGTTCCTGTTTTGGCGCCATATTACCCAACCAACCAACATACCAACCAAACAAACAAACAAACAAACAAAATCTTGAATCAACGATTAATCGAAATTCGAGTTGATTTGATTTTGCCCATGTTTTTTAAAATTTTATTTACGATACACACACACACACACACACACACACACACACACACACACACACACACATGTTATTTTGGGATTATACAACGTATAAAAAGAAATAGCGCGAACGTGTCCTGTCGATGGTTTCATGGTCGCCGACGTATAAACACATCTGTGGATGTTCAATATTCATAATTTCACCATTGCCATGTTTCTTTGTATCCCAGTATTATATGGACTATAACTTTCACTTACCATCAATTAACTTGTTCAAAAAAACATACCCTGCAACCGAATCTTTTAAATATGTCGTTTATGGCGTTCCTTTGGCAGCCGTATTTTTGTCTATTTTAGAAGTGAAGAATATAAAAGTCATGACATATCCAATACAGTTTGGAACGTACACATTTCCAACAACACCAGAAAAAGGGAAAGGACGTGCACTAAGACTACCCACAAATCATTCAAAGTCCAAGAAGACCAACCTCAGCGTGTGTCTCAGGAAGCCGTCATTCTAGTGACAGCACCATTATAAACTTATTTAATATTGACGAGCGATATAATGTTTTGAAACCAATTAGATCCATAGTATCTTAAAAACATGAAGACAGATATGTATTATGAAAAAGACAGGAAGAAACAAAATATTCTGTTTTAAACTGATTGACTAGTTGTATGTCTGTTCATTCCAAAAAAAAGTAATGGTATTCATTAAGAGCAAACTATCTGATATTGTCAGATTATTTTAATTTCTTCAGTCAGATTGAGATCAAACATTGAATTCTCAAATGACAAAGTATTTTGTGACTTTATTTGATATATATTATCATCATCAAAAATTTAAATAATCCGAAATATTTGATTGAAGGGGCGTCATGTTTTGTGCTCTAAACATTTTTTTTTTATTTTTTAAGTAATTCCAGATATGCGTACGGATATAAAACTTGATTGCTACAAAATGTTAATGAAATTATTTTAACAACAAAGACCTGTTTTGTAATGCAAATCAATAGTCACTGTGGTAAAAAATTTACAAACCTAGTTGTGTATACATTTCTACCTCCGTGGAAGTGTCCTGTCTTGCCAACGACTCATACCCGGCCTGTAAGTCAGTATCTACAATATAGAAGATTGATTAGCATACAAACATGGCATACGTCTAGAAATAGAACGTAAGATACACAACAACAAAAATGTGTTCATGAATTGAGTATGTTATCATTACACGTGTCATCAAACAATTGTTGATGATCATAACTTATGCAAAACAAGAATTTCAGCTTCAGACACTATATGCTTCCCAAATCTTAACAATTGTCAATGAATTCAAATGCCTATCAGTCAATAAATTTAACTACCGAAATTAAGAACATCTGTAAAGAAATGATTATATTCAAAGGCTTGGTATGAATTTTAAAGCATAATAAAGTGAGATAATCGCGATAGTCGCGATAGCAGGCGATAGTCGCGATAGCAGAATACTAAATCAAATGCATTTTATCATTAGTGTTATCAATTTGTATTTTTTGTTATAAAATTAACTTATGTGATAGAATAGTTGTTAACATTTTAGCATTCCTGCGACCTTAAGCTTATCAGATTTTTCAATATGAATTTACTTTTTTAAAAATATCAACCAAATGAGTGGTTAATGATTGGTAAAAATGATGAGTCTATTTCAATTCCTGTATGCATTTGTATAAGGTAAGACAAAATGAATGACCAAATAAGTGTTATTTCAAGTAAGACAAATTTCTTTGATTAGGCTACCGCCACATCAATTTACTTTCACAATGGGACGTAATCTGAGAATGAAACTGAAATATAAGAGATAACGATTTAAATAGAAAATGAAATAAATAACTTACAGATAGTTATATCACAATAACGTTTACTACATTGAAAGCAAAAACAAACAAAAACAAAATTATCGATCTTGATGTGCAATAACAAATGAGAAGACAAAGATATTATCACTAGCATGCTAACATAAGATTTAGTTCAGAAATATATATCAAAATAAATTTGAAGCCAAAAGCACATCTGAAACATTGTGACTGAATACAACGACAGTTATAATAATTTTGTAAGCCATAATGCATGCATTGCCATCGGTTACATTTGTGGAGACAAATACAGAACTATTCAAATCTTTAAAATGTAAGCGAAAACTTAGTGATAAAAATGATCAAAATAGAAATGTACATTCCCAAGAAGCCTATAATGAGCTTGCTTATTCGATTTGTTTCGTACTAAGAGAAATAAAACAAATATATAAAGCTGAAAGTAACGGAGAAAAATCAGTGCAATGTAATTAATGTCATTTTTTACGTCAACGTTTAATGTTTAGATGTGTTCCGTCATAAAATATTTTATTGCAAATTGATAAATTCCTTTTTTAACACTCCTCCTAAATAAAGGGAAATGTGCACGAGATAGTGCTAACACTAAATATATTTTACATCAATATAATATTATGACCTTATTAAGTTGAAGAGAAATTGTTAACATTGTTATCTGTCTTTTCCTTTATAAAACAATTGCCGTTATATTTTCATATACATGGTGTTATTTATGCGAGTTCAATGCTCAGGAGACTTGATTTAAGAACATAACACTGTGTAATACTGTGACACACTATGTCAAACGCAAGGTGTATCACTTTCATATTGTAATTGATTTATAAAATTGACAGATCCATTGGTTATGCTTTTATAAGGTGCATTGTAACGCTTCAACATATATGACATACATATTGTTACAGTTATGCTTTAATAAAACACATATGGTAATGCTTTCATGAAACAAAAAATGTAAAGCCTTCATAAAGGTAAAAACAGCTTCACAATAACTGCTTTGTTCTTTTTCTTACCGTCGTTTCTGCTTCCATTATACCTTGAAAAGAGTATCAAAAATACGATTGCCGGGATATAAAATATTTTGTGATATTATTAGAAACATTATTTAATGTAAAACTATATATAAGCACAAGTCAATATAAACCTGTTGTACACTATTCATGGACATTTTAACACGCTTATTTCATATATTCTTTGGTATTCAGAATATTCCGTAATGGTTTGGCCCAAACTCGTCTGTACATCGTAAAACACAGTAAAAACAACAATATTCCAGTCTAATAGTCAACATTATAGCAACATTATAGCAACAAACATTTGAATATAGATAAGTTTTCCTTTTAGAAGTTTTTTATCGTCAATCTCTAAATGTTGGTATAGTGTACATGTATAACATACATTTTTAGATTTCGAAAACAATAATTATTGTACCTGTAAGATATTTCTTTCTAGATATCGTAGTTCTAACAAATTTTGAAGATGAGTGATACGAATGTCACATTTTATATCATGAATGAATATCACATTTTATGTCATGAATGAATATCACATTTTATGTCCTGAATGAATATAACAATTTATATCATGAATGAATATCACATATTATGTCATAAATGATTCTATTGAATGAAAGTTTAATACGTATCAGATACCTTTCACGGACATGCCGTAATAGAAAAAAGCAAGAAACTCGATGTTAGCGTTTTACAATAATAACTAACACTGACCATTTCTACAACACAATGGCTATAAAATATTTACATAACATCTGAATAAGGACATACTCATTGTCATTCCCGTCTGTTCTGGTCACCAACAATGCACCTCTTCTTCTTTTATAAAACATAATGAAAGATATGACTATGGCAGAGGTCACAACCGCAGTTATAAGTATACCTATAGCCAGACCCAAAACATTGCTGTGAACCATAGCTTTTCTTGATTCTGAATAAGACAAAATGTACAAATTTTGATAGAAAACAAGCAAAAAGTAGGAAGATAATATTTGTTTTCAACCGATCACTGATATGTTCGCTCAAGATAAAATACATTCACTTATTTGTAAAAAGTTAAAATTGATAAAATTATTCGACAAACTTTAGACAATGTCAAATAAACTCATACAATAGGGAGAGAGCTCCACAATTGCTGTTTTGTCTTTAAATATAACCATAGCAAGTGGTTAACAGACAATACCTTTTACAATAAGTGATATACTTTTTGATGTTATCCCACCTATACCATTGTGTGCCGTGCAGGTGTATGTACCGGAATAGTCTGTCGAGACGCTTGTTAAATTGATATCAAAACTTTTTGTTTCGTAAACCACTAAAAGAGAAAATGATAATAGTTACTTCATATATCACTTTGGACATCTTTTAATCTAGCATGACATTGTGAGAAAGACATATTTTACCAGTAAATGTTGAATTTCTCATAATTTGCAAAGGTATCTTAAAATGATTCATATCATTAGGGTTTGACAGAAGGACAAATATATAACGTATACAATATAACAACTAGTAAAGTAACTAAAATCAAGGAAACAGTTGTTGGTTTTTTATTGATAATTCTGATTGATTACATAAAGTGTAGCATTTTGTCAATGATTTACAGATTTCTGTATTATACTCGCCTTGAATTAAACCAGACTGTTTGTACCAAGATAGTGTTGACGGTGGATTACTTTCCACGTGGCATGTCAAGTGAACGTCATCACCGACAAATATATCTTTGTTTTCTTGCTACGATATGTTAACTATTGGTGAATCTATAAACAATTCAGGTTATAGCAAAATAACATATTTAAACACGAAATGCTAATATGCAATAATTTGAAAACATCTGCAAATTTTGCTAATATTAATGGCACAACAAATTTGAAAGGACATCGATCGAACCAGGAGTACTTAGCTCATCAACTTTTCAAACATAACTAATACAATGTGGCGATTATTCGCTTGGACATCACGTGATACTTTTATCCTGTTCAACGTCTCAGTTCTTAGACTCTTAAACAGCTTTGATACATTTCATGGTGATATATGTAATTTAGGCAAATATTATATGAAATCAAAAACCCATATACAATACGTAGAATATAAATAATGTTAAAGAATCTTAATAAATCTCGATCGAAATAGTTTAATAATCATTTCGGTTTGAGACCATAAACACCTGAACAACATTATGAAAACAAAATTACGATTTAAGTGTCTTTGTATCATGAAACGACTATGGTCTCTTGGAATTAGCACGACATTGTTTTCAAGTATTCTATTTTTAATGTTTGCGACACCTAATTGATCGTTATTCCAATGTTATCTTATTGTCGTGGGATCATCTATATAGCTATAAATTAAATTTCTTGTTAGATTGATATGACTGTTGGCAATATTAACTGTAAATCTTGAAATCGATGATTTTCACTGATTTTCACTGTTCGGGAAATAAATTGATCGTTAGTATTACTGACTTAAATATCAAAACCGCCAACGGTGAAACAGATATAAAAAACGAGAATAGATAGTAATGAAATACAACGCACATGTAATATTCAGCTTGTATATGTGTTCTAAATTTAGTTCTGGAAACCCGTCAGTTCTTACTTGACATTTTATCTCTCGCTTATCATCAAATCTTGTAAAATTGAAAGTCCAAATCTGAAAAAGGAAATTTATTCGTTTCAGAAAGAGAACAATTAAATAATATTACTTTACCTTTGGTTATGAATTTTCATGATAGAGCAGTATTCTTATAATGTTATATTAAATTTTCAGGTATAGTTGTTATTATAAAGAATATTATCTTGAACATTCTAAACAGTAGATATAGACAATGTAGAAAATATTGCATGAATGTGCTGTTTTGATGGTTTGTATCAATCGAGATATTTTTGTATAGTTGTATTCATACAAGCCCGTATGACGAGCTGTAATACACCTTTATGCGATCAAAGGTCCGATTCAGTATTGGGACATATTAAACAGTAATTATAGAAAATGAAAAGAATATTGCATGAATGTGATATTATGATGGTTTGTATCAGTCGAGAGAATTGTGTAAAGTCGTATTCGCACTAGCCCGAAGGGCGAGCGGTAAAACAAGGTTATGCAATCAACAATCCCATTCAGTCTGTGAATCGCATAATAAATGTATTTTTGTCATCAATCATAAAATAAGTTATGTTGTTGGACTCTCATACTTAACATAAGTCTCTTTTCCGTTTTTACTCTTTTCTTCCCTTTTTGATGTTTTTGTTACACATTCTTTACTTACAAAGATCCTAAATCACATAGGCTATACACAATTTAGTACTTGCAAGAAACTACTTTTACTGTTACAACTTCTGGATTTATTTCAACATTGTTTAATATAATGTATTTATTCCTAACATGTTTGCGTGTTATAAGCAATATTTACGTCATACTTGTTGAAATATTTATAACTGTTTACCTTAGAAAGACTTTTTATGGAAATTCTGTCTGAACTATTTTCTTGGGTCTGACGACCAAACAAATAAAACAGGAAAGCTATCAAATATGACATGGCATACTTTCTTCTGTTAATAACCCGTACCAAAAGGAAAGGTTTGCCGTAAACTCGCTGCAACTTTGCCGCAAATTCGCTGCAAACCTTTTAGTTCGCCGAAACACTGTGTCAAGTGTTTGCCAGATATCGCCACTAGTGGCAACTCTGTAGCAAACATTTGGCGACTTTGCGGCGAATTCACCAGAATATTAAGTTGTTCGCCAAAAGTTTGCCAGAAACTTTCAGTGGAAAACTAATTTGCCAGAGATTGCCAGAATCTTTCTATCAAAAAAAATATTCGCTGAAAGTTCACCAGAAACCTTTCTATAAAAACAAGTTTGCCAGATAATCGCCACAAACATATCAGTTCTGAAAGTTAATCCAACTTTGTTCAGTAAATAACTATTTTTCCAAGGAATTATATTATTATGCACATATAAAAAAATCCTTCATGTACCTACCTATAACCTACCTACCCACCCACCCTATTTTAATGGGTCGGGAAGTGGAAACAAACATATTTTTATTTTTTGCCTAAGAGTTATCAAATTGAAACATCATATGTATCATGGAGGGTATTGTAGTTCACAATAACAGTTAAAAAATTATAAGGTAGAAGACCCATAATGAAATCGGCAATCTTCGACAATTACCGCCATATCTCGCCATTTATCGTAACGAACTTCGTTTGTTTACGTATAAAGTCGGAATTCTAATAATAGCGGATATCCCCGGTCACGTGGTAGTATTCCCCAAGAAAATGACGTAATTTCCGTAGATATCTAACATGGCGTCTTACAGGCGTGATACGCTCGGTCGATTCAAAAAAAGTGTAAAAAGATGCAGAAAACCCAAGTATTCCGACTTAATTATAGAACATAACTATAGTGCAGGTAACCAGTATTACGGGTCAACCAAACCAGCTCTACAAAACATCAACTCTTCCTAAATCGGTTGATAATGAGGGTTGGAAAGAGGGAAGAAGAATCGTTGAGTTTGGCGTGTTACGGTCAAACCTAAGATTTTGTAAAAAATGTAGACTTGGACCAGTAGGCTACCATTAACTTTTGACAACATGTTAGTTGAATTTAAACAGGGTGTGTCTGGATATTTGTATGTGAAATGTCGAAACACAGAATGCGGTCATGTGAATTGTGTTCCCTATGGAAAAACACATAGACTCTAGTAGTCCAACTAATTGTACTGCGCGACGAGATATTGTGCTATTTTCGTGTCTGGGCAATATCTCGCCTCAACGTACAACATAAAAAGTACCTTTTCTGTGGTGAAATTTGCGCCGGGATTTTGAGCGCAAGCTTTGGACCGTCTAAAATCGTATTAGAATTCATATTTGAATAAATTTGGTACGATACATTTAAAGATTATTCATTTCTACATCAATTTCATGTTTTATTTGTAAAAATATTCCTGACATAACGATTTTGATAGAAAAGTAAACACATGCACCATCAAAATAAAGACATCGCCGCTAATGTCACGTGACAAATACACTGTTGATAACTACACTGGTGTGTATGCAGTACTGCGTTACTGAGAAACGACGAAACACTCTTAGTAAAATATCAAGTTTAATGTTGTATTTAAGACATTTATTTATGCAACAAATTAATAACTATGAAAGGGTGAAAATATTACTTTATTGGAGCAGATGCTCTACTTATTCGATTGTCAGAGCGTTTGTAGAAATATCAGAATCATCATTATCTTTTTAGAAAAGCAACTCTGTAAATGGAATCCTAACTAAACATTTTCTAGTTTATAAAAAAATATTTTGTTCAGCTTTCCCATTAAATATATGACATGGGACCTATTGGTATCTATAGAATTTTTTCCCACGATTATGATGAAAATAGGGATATGTTAAGAGCAGAAACATGAGGTTTATATGTTTAAAGAGCAACGTTCGGATTCCTAGTGCCATAGCGACTACGAGAAGACACCATTCTAAGGAATTTGACAGTCTGTTATTTATATTCAGGTTGATAAACTATTAAACGATACTTTCATTGTTCAAAATAATTTTTATCAATAATAAAACGAATAAATGTCAAACGCGGTGCCTCGACATTACACATGTATGTGCGGAAACAACATTCCATGTATTTTTTTTTAATTTCTTATCCACTCAGGTCCATAACTCTGGCTAGTTTACTCCAAAAAGCTTTCTGAAGATGTTTATAGAAAGAAACACACACACATGCGCACACACACGTAGGTATGAAAGCTGTTTTAAAATGACCGTGGTAGCAGGGGAAAATACTCGGAAATTTATTTCATGCAACAGGTGTCCGCTTCATTTGTTTGTTTTTTGTTTTGCAAAAGACTTTCATAATGTTGGTATTTAAGATTTATCCATACATTTCACTTTTATGCCGTCTAAAAAAATATTTTCTTTTATGAAATACATGCATGGCGAAGTGCGATTAGAAGAATCAACGCGGTTACATAAAAAAAAACGCTGCGCCGCTAATTTCTTTCACAGACAGGGTGTGGAGCTCAAAACGCCTTTAAAAAAATGTATATTTGTCAATCCCAGCACATGTACTGATCATATATATAAAAAAAATTAAAATAAGCCGTTTTGAAAAAAAAATCATATTTCAACGTCTATAATAATACATAAGAAAAAAATGGCCGGGCGGAAAAAATCCGCACGCCTACCGTCAAAAACACCATGTATTTTCTTCCGTTTCCAATATTTTCACATAATCCTTTGGCCCACAGACCCAGAATATATAATTCTACATGATGATGGTCAATTTTAAACTTCAACATCAATATAAACAACGCAACAACCGAAATAAACATCGAGATTATCGCCGTTTTACTCCATTTACAAAATCTTTCGACAAATTCAAACGTGGCACCCCAACTTTGACAAATATACATTTCATTTGGATTTTAAAGGCGTTTTGAGCTCCACATCCCAAATGTCTGTGATTTCTTTGATTCTTGTCCAATCATATATGATTTAAGAGTTATGCAACACGTCTACTCATTTTAAACAATAATATGATACAGATTGTTACTGCTTTGGAATACAAACTTATAAAATCGGTAAGAAATCACGGCGGCTCTTCAGTTCTTTTTTTCAATAATTTCTTCTTCTTGTGAATTTAGATAGAAAACCAGAAAATAGTTCCTAAATATTAAATGTCACAACTCAAAACTTACAAAAATGGTATATCAAAAATGGTACATCTTGCGTAAATTCAGAGCCGGGAAAATATACCGATGAAACTCGGGACCGTAACACATTTAAATTCTTACCACCGTATAAATGTATTATAGAAAATAATTTAAGCATAAGATTATCGTCTTTAAAATGAATCATCAAGTATATTTATAATTATAAATTGAAAAATAAATACATGTAATTACAATCTAAAAATAACTTTTCTTTTCAATTTGGACCGTGTCAGCATGGACAATTGTTTAACTGATTCCGGATAGGAATCACGGCTCCAATTTAATTAAATACTTATCTATGAATCAATCTATGAATCATGTTTTATTTATTTAAAACTTAATCTTATAAATTTTGAGTTGACACAAAGAATTAAAGTAAGGAAGAAACAGGATTGTGCATCAATTATTAATAGTGTCGACATTTCCGAAGTGTAAATTGGTCAGCGTTCCGGTGTCGGCGTTGTGGAATAGTTGACACGTTTCAAATATAAATATACATGGTTGAATATATTTTCTATACCGGGACAAAAACTTTTCTGGAACATCGCTTAAACAACACCCAAATATCAAGGCCATTACGGCATGCTATGATTATAGTCTTTTATTACACGGAGAAATGGTACATGTATACGCAAACAAACGAAGAATGGGCGCTCGGGGTAACGAGTTTTACTTTTCTGAAAACTATTGAGGACTGAAAAATTAACGCAAGAATTTACCATTTGAATTCAAAGAATCTTTCATAGCGTAATGCACGTTTGGAAAACAAAAAATTCCTTAGCAAGGTGTTGCTGTTTTTAATACGCAGCAAGTTGTGACTAACATAATTATGCTAACATAGATAATACTACAGAGTGGTGACAATATAAATTTTGATGAAATACAGTATTTTTTTTATCCTTTACTATACATGTTTATAAAAAAGAGGACTAAATTAAAAGTTTCTCCGCATCATTTTCAAGATTTCAATCAATTAGAAAAAAATAGTTTAAGATTATTTCCTGGCGATTTATTTTAATGTAGCAATAAATATAATTAATAATAACAACATTAAAGAATAATTTACACTTTTTAACAGTTTTTCATATTTTTTTGCCACGAAAAAAAAGAAGAAAAAAAAAAACAACAACATTTACGCACGGTATCGAACAATATCGATTTTTAGCGTACATGTTACATTACTGTAGCAACATCACAATATGGCGGCGTTGGTACACAAATGAGACGGTGAAATGAAACTAACGTGGTTTACTTTCTTCTAAGTTGATAATCTGGCACTTTTTGTGCTGTTAATTTCTTAAAATTGAATTGTTGAATAGATTCTGAATTTAAATTGTCTGCATTTTCACATTTACATCGAAATCCACGTTTCACCACAGAAAGGTCTCCTTTTGGTTTTGACGTTAAAGCGAGATTCTGCCCCAGAACGAAAATATCTCAGAATCAAGCTTTGTCACGTCAATATATTTTGACTAAGACTCTAGTAGATTGAAGACCTGGGAAAGTTGGAATGCCATGTTTCGTTGTCAACACAAAATTAGGAACAGGTAAGTGACTAATGTATTGCATCATACTTTAGATTAAGTACTATATACTGATTATGAATTCATAGATGTAAGGTCTCGTACCAACATGAATATACATTTATCAGTGTTTATCTACTTGTCTTCCAATGATGTCAAACATGTAAAATTATGAGAGAAATTATGCGGACCAAATTTATGTTTCAGATTTATAAATAATTAATTTATTATACAGAATACATGTATCTTGTTTGTGTTGAGCTGTAAAACACTACTCCTTATTGTGAAGGAAGTGGCTAGCCGTACGGGCCCGTACGGCTAGCCAAAAGTTCTAGCCGTACGTGACTCACGTACTCCATATAATTTTGAAAAGTGCCGTACGGCTAGCCAATACAGTGTTTCCTGGCTAGTCGTACGTGACTCACGTACGGCTAGAACTTTTGACTAGCCGTACGGGCCTGTACGGCTAGCCACTTCCTATTGTGAAATTTTTTATATACTTCCCTCTGAACTGTTTTAATTTCCCCAAAGTCACTGAGAAACTTGAAAAACAAATGATAAAACGTTGCTAAATTAAATCTTGCAACAATGCAATTTTTATTAAGACATTACAGAATCCTACATGTACATTATATAAAAGACACAGTTTACACTAGGCTGCCAATACACACAGTCACAGTAATATTCAACATACATGAGGCAGCTAAAAATAGCTCTATATAAATTTATGCAATGTGTTATTATCACGGTTATGTAAATTACAATCCATGTGAAGTTTTTTTTTGGACAAAATATTTGTATACTTAAATGAAATAATTTGTTTCTTTTCATTTTCTTACAGCAATGATTGATAGTGTAGGTGGGCCGGTGAGGGTCAACAATTTGTTGTCAACACTCAATATACCAACAATTGGAAATAAAAACATGAAAAGAAATGGAGAGACGTGTTGAAAATATCATTGAGACAGTGGCTTCTATGTCGACAGAATCTGCTGCGAAAGATCAAGGAAATGGAGTAAGACACATTTACATTGATATTTTCGAAATAACATGTAATTGAATTGTAAGAAATTGAAAACTTGTTTTGTAATTATATGTCTATGCAGCTTATCATGGTATAATCCTATATTGCTGGCACACTCGTGGTTTAGGGAACCAAAGAATATTATACAATCCATATATGAGAAAAGAATTTTTAAACAATGGCTTTGTTGTTTTTGCATGTTACTCTATATTCATGTACATATTTTTTTTTTCAAAATAACATGAATGTGTAATTGTTTTTTAAAAAAAGTATTTATTTCTACATGACAAACTGGGTCAGCCTGGGCTCCTTGCCATTGGTACTTGTTGCTGGGTCATATGGGGGTTGCGTTCATTGAACGCCGCCTTTCCTTGTTGATCTTGTTTATCATATTTTACCTTCATTGGTTTGAGACTAAAATTCTTATTAAATACATGCATTCTTTTTAAGGGATGTGCATCATGAAGAATTAATGGTATCAGAACACAACATCATGGAAGGTCTTATTGACAAGATCTTGGAGGATGTCCTTTGCCAGATGCCTCGCCAGCACTAAAGTGAGTACTGGTAGTTTGTTTTCTGTATTTTGTTTATTTACGAAAGTAAAGGACTATGCAAAACTGACTGGTGTTGTTGAACTGTTTGTGTTATGTCAGTTGCTTCAATATATGAATATCTCTCCATATACTGTTTGTACATATGTATTTTTTTTTTATTCAAGGTCTATTCTTCAGTCAGATGCTACAGTTACAAATGACATTGAATGGTCAGATTTATACAATTGTGATGAACAATCCTCAACAATACATCAAACAAAAATGCCTATTAAACTGTAAGTTGAAATCTATGAGGTTTTTTTATATATATTTATAATCATGGTGTAGCAATTAAATGATAATACTGTGATAATTTTGTAATGCTATTTGGGGATGTCTTCAATAGAAACAATTTGATGTATCTTCATGTGATGAATAATCGATATGCAGTCCGAATTATTTCATAAAAGTGATTACTAAAATTGGTCAGGAAAAAGTCGTGCAATCAGCATTAATAATTAACAAAACTTATTCTAGTATGAACATTGTGTTACATTAATTATAAATAAGTTATTGTCAATTCATTGGTGTAGTTTCTCAATATTTGTCAATATTACGTTTAAAGATGAATTTTAAATTACAGAAAATATTTTTGAAATATTTTTACAATTACAGTTCTCACAGACATTCAAAGGTTGAAAACAAATCAGAAGTGGTCCACATCTTGAAAAACCTCACAGCAGATTAAGACTTTCCCCGAAATTTCCCTGTAAAACCCACAGTGGTATGTCCAGTGCAGTAGATACTGCCTGGCACAAAAGAGGATTGGACAGTTTAACATGTAAGTAAAATAAGATTATTTTTATGCCCCCACAATGTGGGAGCATATAGCGTTGCACTTGTCAGTCCGTCCAAAACTCTTGTGAACGCAACTCCTCTTAAACCAGATGGCAGATTTTGCTTAAACTTCCAGAGATGAACAACCTTAATGTGTAGATGGTAGTAAAGGAAGGAATATTTGCTGCAACCAAATTTAACAGAATTATGGCCCTTTGTTGATTTTTTCACTATATACTATGTAGAAATTTTGTGAACGCAACTCCTCTTTAACCGGATGGCAGATTTTGCTTAAACTTCCAGGGATTAACAAACTTAATGTGTAGATGGTAATACAGGAAGGAATTTATGCTGCAACCAAATTTAACAGAATTATGGCCCTTTGTTGATTTTTAGTTTTCAACTTGTGGCACATGTAGTCCAAAAACTATTTGACCTAGAGTCATAAGATTGACAGAACAGTGGCGTGTGGGGGCATCCGTGTCCTATTGACATATTTCTAGTTTTTCTCAGTTATCATGTCAGTAATGATTTAGAATTTGTCAGAAAAGTATCTGTGTATATTTTAACCACTGTTATTGATGTATAATTGAAAAAGTGAGTTTTGCATACAAGTAAGACTGGTTAGTCAACATTGTTCTTTCAAACAGTGGCATTTGGAAGAAAAATCCTAATGGTTATTTGAATGACCCTGGTTTTAACTTTGAGCTCTGACCTGGCTGTCATGTTCACAGCATGCATCATTTTTGTGTCGCCTCTACGGAGTAGTGGCGACATATAGGGATCATTTCTCCGTCGTCTGTCTGTCCGTCCGTCACAAAACTTGTCCGGACTACTCCTCATAAACTACTGGTGCAATTTCATCCAAACTTTACAGGAATTACAGTACCAAGTCTAGTTGTGCATTTTGTCAGCATTTTCCGGTTCAATGATTTTTGTCAGAGTTATGGCCCTTTAATAATTTTTATTTTTAAAGTTTGTCTGGACTATTTCTCTTATACCACTAATGCAATTTCAATGAAACTTTACAGGATTGATCTGTAGCTTAGGTCCTTGTGCATATTGCACGGGTTTTCCGGTTGAATGATTTTTGGCCGAGTTATGGCCCTTTGATAAAAAGGTGTTTTTTTTTCTGTGTGTTGCCAGATACACAAAAGCTTGTCCAGACTACTCCTCATAAACTTCTGGTGCAATTTCATCCAAACTTTACAGGAATGATCAGTACCAAGTCTAGTTGTGCATATTGTCAGCATTTTCCGGTTCAATGATTTTTGTCAGAGGTATGGCCTTTTTTTAAGATTGTCCGGACTACATCTCTTATACCACAAATGCAATTTCAATGAAACTTTACAGGATTGATCTGTTGCTCAAGTCCTTGCACATATTGCACAGGTTTTCCGGTTGAATGATATTTTGGCAAGTTTGATGAAAAGGTGTTGCCAGATACACAAAAGCTTGTCCGAACTACTCCTCAAAAACTACTGGTGCAATTTCATCTAAACTTTAAAGGAATGATCAGTACCAAGTCTAGTTGTGCACTGTCTGTCTGTCTGTCCGTCTGTCACTAAACTTGTCCCAACATGAAATTGGCCATCATGAGGCCACACATGTGATCACTGATCGCTCTTGTTTGTTATTTTGGTGTGTTTTTAACATAATACCTTGATTTCTTAACTAAGTTAGATAAACTTATAATATATGAGCCACTTGTCATTTGTAAATAAATCTAGGTTTTGCAATGCAAATACATGTTCATCCCAACAGATCAAAATCAAGCCAGCACCAGTGTATTGACCAATAAATAATAATTGCCTTTGGTGTTTATTTTCTTCATTTGTAGGTGGGCTTTACTAATAGATTGCTGCCACTTTATTTCAAGGTGGGGTTTTGGGGTATCATTCACCTTCAGTGATAGTTCTAGTTTTATCCAGTATAAACATGGTAACATGTAAATGAAAAATAAACCTTGTTTTTTTTTCAGTGTACTACATCAATAAACTAAATATGGAGAGTAGCTTAGTCACCAAAGCAGTCAACACCAAAATACACACAATGGCCAGGGCACTGAAACTTGGAAGAGTGAAAGAGTAAAGTAGTGCGTTTTTAGCTTACAAAGTGACATTGCGAGCTTTTGTCTATCTTTCGTCCGTAAACTTGATCTTTAAACAACATCTCATAAATTGCCAAGCCAATTTCATGCAAACTTACGATATTTTCTAGTCAGTTTTTGTTTTGCTTGCAATCGTTATATGACATGACTAAAGACATTTAGTTTAAATCTTAAGTTATTATGTTTATGTTTGTATAAGACCCAAATATATTGTTAAGATTCTTTTTTACAAATTTGAAAGCCATTATTGCTCTAGTCTGTTTTTGTTTTGCTTGCAATCGTTATATGACATGACTAAAGACATTTAGTTTTAATCTTTAAAAATTATGTCTATATTTGTATAAGACCCAAAAATATTGTTAAGATTCATTTTTACAATTTTGAAAGCCATTATTGCTCTAGTCTGTTTTTGTTTTGCTTGCAATCGTTATATGACATGACTAAAGACATTTAGTTTAAATCTTTAGTTATTATGTCTATGAGGGGCGTCCGTGGCCGAGTGGTTAAGGTCATTGACTTCAAACCACTTGCCCCTCACCACTGTGGGTTGGAATCCCGACAGGGACTTTGGATTCTTTCATGTGAGGAAGCTATCCAGCTAGCTTAACTGAACGTCGGTGGTTCTACTCAGATACCCGTTCGTGCCTGAAATAATGCAAGGAAGGGCACCTGAACGTCACGATATGACCTATACTGTGTCGATGTGACGTAAAAACCCAAAACAAACAAACAAATAATTATGTCTATGAAATTCGTTGTTTGTATAAGACCCAAATATATTGTTGTGATTAAATTTAACAATTTTGAAAGCCATAAGTGTTCGTGTCAGATATTGTTTTGCTCACAATCATAATGTTATATGACATGAGTTTAAATCTGAAGGTATTATGTCCATGAAATATGTTGTTTGTATAAGACCAAAATATATTTTTGAGATTCATTTTTACAATTTTGAAAGCCATTATTGGTCTAGTTTGTTTTTGCATAACACATAACGCTATTGTTAGTATTTATTGTTATTAATAGTGATTTGTCTAAGTGGATGTCGAAGTATGTATGTTATTCCATGCCAGTTCATGTTTGAATGAAACTTTTTGTCCAGATAGAAGATTTCAAACTGTAACTTTTCTGATTTTTAGCTTTTACAACAATATTATATTTCCCATTTTTGGTGCTAAGAAATACTGCAACATGTGCTGAATAATAGCTATTGTCAAACATTGTTTTTATGCTCCCCGAAAAATTTCGGGGGAGCATATAGTCATCGGGTTGTCCGTCCGTCTGTCTGTACGTACATACGAACCCGAATTCGTGTCCAGCCCATAACTTTGTTATTTCAAGTTGGATTTTAAAACTATTTCACAGAAATGATCACCATATTGAGACGACGTGTCGCCCGCAACATTTGGGTCGCTACCTTGAAGGTCAAGGTCACACCATGACCTTGAACAAAAATCATGTCCGGCCCATAACTTCGTTATTTGAAGTCGGATTTTAAAGCTATTTAAAAGTAATGATCACCATATTGAGACGATGTGTCGTGCGCAACATTTGGGTCGTTACCTTGAAGGTCAAGGTCACAGCATGACCTTGAACAAAAATTGTGTCCGGCCCATATCTTGGTTATTTGATGTCGGATTTTACAACTATTTCACAGAAATGATCACCATATTAAGACGATGTGTCGCACACACCATTTGGGTCAATACCTTGAAGGTCAAGGTCGCAACATGACATTGAAGCAAAATCGTGTCCGGCCCATAAATTTGTTATTTGAAGTCGGATTTTACAACTATTTCACCGAAATTATCACCATATTGAGATGATGTGTCACACGCAACATTTGGGTCATTACCTTGAAGGTCAAGATCACAGCATGACCTTGAAGCAAAAATATGCCTGGCCCATAACGTCGTTATTTAAAGTGGGATTTTACAACTATTTTGGAATTATCACACTTTGAACTTTGTCTGGGACATAACCCTGAAACTTCAAAAGATATACTTTTCTGTGTCCAAATCCTAGTCGGGGAGGATCACCCCGGTTCAACCGGCTCTTGTTTTAATTGATTATTAAGTAATATGAACAATTCATGACAGCATCATAACTTAAGAGTGAAAATTTATGAAAGTCAAATATGTATAGAATCAGTTGCTAATAAAATGTGTGTAAAATTTATCTCTTTTTTTAACTCGGGGGAATTAATTTCTTTATTTTACAAATTTATCAAATTTCATTTTATTCTACTGATATGTTTGTAATATTTCTTTTATTTTCTATTGAAAAAATGTGTTAAACCAATATGTATTTGTTTTCTTATAATTCAGCTAGTTTTAATTATTCCAATGTTTGAAAAAATTGTTCGCCAGAACTTTACCAAAATGTTCGCCAAAATATCGCCATAACATATTTGCTGAAACTGGCAAATATGCAAATGAAGTTTGCCGCAGTGTTACCAAAAGCTTCTGGCGGACCTCCGCAAACTTACTATGCAAATGAAGTTTGCTGCAAATTTGCCGCAAACTTTTGGCGAACATCTGCAAACTTTTACCATGCAAATGAGATTTGCAGTAAATTTGCCGCAAACAGAAGCTACCTCCCCCTATAGTTAGCGGCAAATTTGCCGCTAACCTCATTAGTTGCGGCAAGTTTGCCGCAAACCTCATTTGCATGGTAAATAATTGCTGAAAGCAGTTTACTGCACACTCACCTCAATGTTTGCGGCAAACTTGCCGCAATGTTCACCAGAGAGCCTTTTTTTTTGGTAAGGGAAGGAACTCCGCTGTGGTTTTTTGACATGACTGGATTAAACTTTTTTTTTCAAATTTAAGTAACTAATATTCAATTGATGAAAGTCTAGCTAAGCTACTTGTTTGCAAAATTTCGTTGACTCCTTTTTCAATTAATCTAATTGTGAAAAAAACTTATAATAGTAGTGTTGCGACGCTTTTCACTCATAAAGGCTAGGAATAGCGATTTTTATTTATTTATTTAAATTTCTTTATTGTTCTTTTTCACATCTTTCCATTTTAAGTCTCCAGGCTGATCATGTAAGAAATTCAAATTTTATGTTTCTATGAATTTAGACCCCATCGGAGTTCCTTTCATATATTATTTTTAATGTTTCACCTACCACTGTAAGTGCCCATCCATGTGTTCCATTTTTTCGCTCGTATGTTTTATCAACCAACGTTCGTGCAACATTTTCAACTCCACTCATACCAATAGAACTATTTGGATTTGATTCTGCTACAGTATACTTTAATTCAATTCTTGTGTTGCCATTGTCTTGATTTTGTTTCAACATTTCTTCAACATGTATGTCTTTTGGTGGAACTATCAAAAAGGTAAATAAATGTTATGTCCAACAATAGAGAACTGACAAAGCTGGTGGATAGACTTTATTGTTTTTGTTCGTCGACAGCAGTGATAAATGAAAGTCATCATTCCCGTTCTTAAGAAATTCAACAATACAAAGAAGTCAAAGTATGGCAAATAATCAAAAGTACATATTTAGCAGATGTATTCTTATAACGCTTATAACTAAACAATAAATGTGACATTACTTTGGTGCATTTTTATGACACCATTTAAAAGAATTCACGTGTGGACAACAAAAACCAATAAGTAGGATATAAGAAAATATAAAAATATTCAATGATGTATTTCTATCACTTTTAAGTAATGATATCAACAAGTTCTCTTTTTATCATCTACGAATTGAATACAACGGGCCATAGTTGGACTAACTATTCAAATTAACTTTATAAAACATGTGTATTTTATGTCCTTGAACCTGTTAGTATTATGACAACGTCTTAACTGTTTTGTTTATTTAATCTACCTTAAATCGTTAAACTTTATAAAACACATAAATTGTTTTCTATTTTGCTAGCAGATATATTTTCATTTCGTAAAATTTAATCAATTTATCTTTATTCCGGGTTGAATGTGAGGCGAAACTTACACAATACATTAACTCTCTTCTCTCTGCATATTCCATTACCAATAGTACTGCAGCACATTACCTTAACCTGATTATGAAGCCGGGTAAAATGTTTCGTTATCGACGTGGTTATTGTATACATGTTTCTAGCCCCTGTTTCAATTTTGTTCATAGTGTCGGGTTCGTTTTGACCATCTATATACAAAGTCGAGTTCAGTGGTGGTCTGCCATTAATTGCAATACAGTGAAATTCACATTGTGTTCCTTCTATTATCTCGTTGAAACTGATTTCAACCTTATCTGGGGTATCTGAAAAATTAAAATACACATAATATCTCAGTATTACTAGTTTGTGAACCTTAATTAAATGCATAATATAGCTTGATTATCTCTTACATTATAACGATAACAATTTTATTGGACCAATGAAATGTTATGCATATCAAAATGGTAGAGAAACAACCTATTTAACTATCATGTATTTACCTGGTATAGGAGTTTGCAGAACAAAGATACACTTGTTCGTGCTAGCGTAATTAAATATTTTTACAATCATATAAGCCGTGACTCGACATTTCCAACACAGTTGTCAAATTTGACATTTTTTATTTTTCAAAGCTTCTCAAAATGCAATCTTTTCTAAATCATTGTCTCTTAATTATATACACTTATTATTTAGTGTCCATTAAATTAAACAATGATACCCACTTGCTGTAATATCTTCCTTATTCTGTTCGCATTAAAGTGTTAATTCTGGTTAATATAGTGTACATCAGTCCCTACATGTTACTCTATATATGGATAAAGAGAAATACTTGAAAAATATCTTGACACTGGAAATAAAATAACAATCGAAAGAATAAATGTGATTATTGTTTAATTACTTAAAGTAAGTATACCCTGAAAGTGTTCCTCATTGCAAGGACAATAAATCAAGTGTCAAAATGAAATGAGATTTGTCAACTCATAAATTTCTTTGAAATTCTCTTACTTATATACTTAAAATACAATTGAGCGAGTATCTGTCAGGGGCTGAAGGTTAAAAAAAAGTTTAACTGCGGAATAGTGTCATCATTGCACGTAGGGCACAAAATGGGCGCAATTTAATGAAACACTTGCCATTTGTTACAAGCGTAACACTAAGTAACACCTACGTAACGCATGTAAATTCAGTAACATTTGTAACAAGTTTGTTTCTTAAATTTCTTATCTGTGAAATTTTCATTTCACTCAAAACTCTTGTAACATTTGTAACAATGCTGTAACAACTATGTAACAACCTAGTAACATCTATGTAACCATATTAACTCCGTTTTCTGGTCATTTTAGTGTTTTTGCTGTAACACTTTTCATTTCATTCTCAACCTTTGTAACATTTGTAACAATGCTGTAACAACTATGTAACAACCTTGTAACATCTATGTAACCTTATTTATTCCGATTTCTGACCAATTGAAGGCTTGTGCTGTAACACTTGTAACGACCTGTAACATTTGTAACAATTATCTGTGAAATTTTCATTTCATTCTCAACTCTCGTAACACTTGTAACAATGCTGTAACAACCTTGTAACAACTTTGTAACATCTATGTAACCTTATTAATTCCGATTTCTGGCCATTTTCAAGGCTTGTGCTGTAACACTTGTAACAACCTGTAACATTTGTAACAATTATCTGTGAAATTTTCATTTCATTCTCAACCTTTGTAACATTTGTAACAATGCTGTAACAACTATGTAACAACCTTGTAACATCTATGTAACCTTATTAATTCCGATTTCTGACCAATTTGAAGGCTTGTGCTGTAACACTTGTAACAACCTGTAACATTTGTAACAATTATCTGTGAAATTTTCATTTCACTCCAAACTCTCGTAACACTTGTAACAATGCTGTAACAACTATGTAACAACCTTGTAACATCTATGTAACCTTATTAATTCCGTTTTTTTTGACCATTTTTAAGGCTTGTGCTGTAACACTTGTAACAACCTGTAACATTTGTAACAATAATGTGTGAGGATGAAGCAGAATCTATAGAAATCGAAAGAGCTTATCGTTCTGGGATTCGGAAAGGGAGTAAACCCAAAAATATTGTGGTTACCTTCAAAGACTTTAAAACCAAACAGTTTGTAAAATCGTTTAAGGAAAATGTTGACTCAAAGGCCACCGGATTATACATGCATGATCAATACCCTTCAGATGTTGTTGCACAAAGAAAGAGACTCATCCCAATTATGAAAAAGGCAAGAGATGATAAAAAGGAAGCATATATTAAGTATAATAAACTCATAATTGATGGAAAAATATATACGGATGGAAAATATGGTAGTGTTGCGTAGCATATTGAGGGGAGTGATTTATCATTTGCTGTGTGGAACTGCAATGGATTAACTAAGTATAAAATGGACGATAAAGAGTTCTGTAACCTGATTGAACATTACGATGTCATTTTCTTGCTAGAGACGTGGACTAACCAGGATAGTATAGTAGATTTCGATGGTTACAAATCTCACAATTTTTATCGCAAATTCCAGCATAAAAAGGCACGTAGATGTAGTGGTGGTATAGTGTTGTACTGTCGAGAATCAATTGCAAAAGGCATAACAGTAGTTCGTAATCACTTTGACACAATCATTTGGATTAAAATAGACAAAGACTTTTTTAGGATAGAAAGTGATATTTTTATTTGTGCAACATACATATGGGGACAAGATTCACCGGCGTATAATGTTGTCAATAGCAATCTATTTGAAATTATTGAAAGCGATATACATTATTATCAGACTTTAGGAACTGTACTGATTGCGGGAGATATGAATAGTAGAGTTGGTAGAAAAGCAGACTATATTTTATACGATAGAATAAATTCAGTCATGGATAGACAGGATTATGTTCCGGACATTCCAATCGAACGGTCGACAATGGACACTCATCATAACTCTAACGGTATCCAGCTTCTAGACATGTGCAAAGCCACTGATTTACGGATTTGTAACGGGCGTTTTAAAGACACAGAATCGTATACATTCTGCGGATACAATGGGAGCTCCGTTATAGACTATTTATTATGTAAGCAAGAGGATTACAGATTAATCCAGACATTTCACATATCTGATTTCAACATGTTCTCAGATCATGCAATCATTTGCTTCAGTATTGCCATAAACAGTTATAATACATCATGTGTTGAACAAAGTACATCAAACTTAATTAGATGGGACCCAGATAAGCGTGAAGCCTTTAGACGAGGTCTGATATCTAAATTGCCCCAGTTTAATAATGTTTTGGGCACATTAGAAACTGTAAACCAGTCTACAGTAGATAATGCTGTAGGGGAATTTGTTAATCTAATAAACTGTGTGGCGAAGCCAATATTCTCAAAGGAAATAAAAAACTGTCCTTCAAAACCGAAGCAATTTGCAAGCAAAGCCGTTATAAAACCCGCGGAATGGTTTGATATAACGTGTAGAGAATCAAAACGGGATTATATTGAAGCATTGCGTTGTTTTAATGAATTTAAAACTGATGAAAACAGGATTAATCTTATATGTAAAAAACGTTTGTATAAAAAGATTGTGAAATCAAAACGTAATAAATATAAACATGTCAAAATGAAAGAAATCGAGGATTTAAAAAAGGAAAAAACAAAAGGACTTTTGGAAATACTTTTCAAAGAAAAAAGATATGAAAGGGGGTAGTATATCTGTTGAACAATTTCATGAGTACTTCAAGAATCTTTCACAAGAAATAAATATTACTTTTTGATGAAAACAGCGAGCAATTTTGTAGTGAAAACCTGACTGCGGACAACCCTATGTTTGAGGAGCTGGATGTTGTTATTACAAGCTCTGAAGTATATCGAGCGATCAAAGGTCTTAAGCGTGGAAAGGCGGCATCGAGTGATGAAATTATAAATGAATATTTAATTGAAGGGAGTGATATTCTCACGTCACACTTGGTTGACTTATTTAACAAGATATTCTCCAGTGGCTATTTTCCTTCTGCCTGGATGGATGGGATAATAATACCGCTTTTCAAGAAAGGCGACGAAAATGACGTGAATAACTATAGGGGAATTACATTAATCAGTGTTCTAGCAAAATTGTTTACTTCTATTCTAAATGCTAGATTATCTCAGTGGTGTTTTACGCATGATGTTATTTCAGACTCACAATTTGGATTTAAAAAGGGGTTTTCCACTACAGATGCGATTTTCTGTTTAAATAGTATAATAGAAAGTAGTTTTAATAATGGGAAAAGACTTTATGCTACATTTATAGATATGAAAAAGTGTTTTGACAGCGTTTACAGAAATGCTTTATGGTTTAAAATGTATAAACTTGGAATAAATGGTAAAATGCTACGGATTATAAGATCAATGTATGAATACGTGAGATGCCGTGTCAGGCACTGTAACCAATATTCGGATTTCATGGACTTAATCGTTGGTCTAAAACAAGGAGAAATCTGTTCACCTCTTTTCTGGTCTATGTTTATTGAAGACCTAGAATTATTCCTAGGATCTAGACCAGGAAGTGGTCTTAATTATGGCGATATAACACTAATCCTTTTCCTATATGCAGACGATATGGTGCTATTATCGGATAACATCGAGGATCTTCAACTGAGTTTAAATGACTTAAACACATATTGTAATCGATGGGGTTTGAAAGTAAACACGGAAAAATCCAAAGTGATGGTATTTCGAAAGTGTGGTAGATTACAAAATGATGAGAAATGGACATACGATGGAATTACATTAGAAACAGTCGAGAACTATAACTATCTAGGTGTCGTATTTGGTTCAAATGGTGGATTCAATCTTAATTCCCAAATGTTAGTGGGTAAAGCGCTTAAAGCAATGAATACATTATTAGTTAATACGAAAGAGTTCGAGTTTTCCCCAAAAACTATGTGTAGTTTATTCGATTCGTTTGTAACCTCGATTTTAAATTATTCAGCTGAGGTGTGGGGTTTTACCAAATGTAAAGAGATGGAGCGTATACACTTGAAGTTCTGCAAACGAGTATTAAATGTTAAGATATCTACAAGTAATGCTGGTGTATATGGTGAATTAGGACGATTCCCGCTGTATATCAATCGCTACATTAAAGTGCTTAAATTTTGGTTTAAAGTGTTAAAAACTAGTAATTGTGTTTTAAAAACGGTGTATTCAATTATGCTGGAAAACGTACAAAAGAATAAAACTAATTGGTTGTCAAATGTAAAATCAATGTTATATACGTTTGGTTATGGGTATGTTTGGGAAAACCCTTTAA